TATATATATATATAGGTATGTATGTATGTATGTATGTATGTATATGTATATGTTTAATTATATGCATACTTGATACATGTTTGATTATATGTGTAATTATGTGTACGTATGTATACTTATACGTATAATAATACCTGTACTGATACTTGTACTTGTCCTTGTACCTATACTTGCACTTATTCGTATATTTTACATATATAGGTTTATATACAGATACGTAAACATTTACATGTGCATATGCTTATCGGTCTTATTATACATATACATATACATTCACGTACATACATACATACACACGCACATATATATATAAATTTGGAAAAATCCACAGGTTTTTACAAGTACCCATAAATTTTACAATCATGTTATATATATAAATTCATATAAATTTATATATATATATATGTATGTATTTATATATATATATATATATGTAAATATATATATATACATACATACATACATACATATATATATATATATATATCAATGCGCGTGTGTGTGAATATATATATTTGTACATATAGTTATATATATATATATATATATATATATACATACTCAAACATATGCATATATTTTAGTATACACACATATATATGCATATGCATATGCATGTAGTATATGTATATATAGGCTTCAGGACATAGATACACACATATAATATATATATATATACTTGAATTTATATATATATATATAAATCTTTGTAAATAAGTACTATTTCTTTTCATATATGGTCTCGATGGCTACAAAAGTACATGTGTCCGTGTTTCTGTCATTTTCCGTTTCGTTCTCATCATGTCTGTGCTGATATTCGTTGAAGGACGCCTACGTCTATTTCTAGGTTTACCTACAATACACTTCTATTAAAAATATGTGATGCACTCGGCCTGTCGTATTCATTATTATTGTTACAGGAGAGCCCCATTCAAGTAGCCGTGTTACGCGCACAGCTGCGTCTGCTGAAGCACGGCCTGATCAAAGAGGCCAAAGATCTGGAACACCGGTCCGAACTTTCCAATGGAGGTGCAGCCAGGGCATTTGTTGGGGACATGCCCCCACTCGATGTTGGTGTGTTGTTGGTTGGCTTGTGGGGTTTTGTGTTGTCGATGGTTATTACTGTTTCGTATAAACATCATGATGCCGTGTCGATGGAACTTGGTCTCGGTATAGCCTTGACGGGGTTCCATACTCACGCCTCTGGACTGTGTGCATATAATACATAAGCAAGTGTAGTTACGACTGTTGTCGTTGTTCTTGTCGTTGTCATGGTTACACGTTGCTATACCGCCATCCTTTCGGTCGGAGCTGATATCATACGTCCCATAAGCCTGGCGTGGAGTGTTTGCGCCACAGTGACTACTAAAGGCATACTCCGATTCATCGTCGCAATTATCGGCACCGCTCCCTCGGGCGGGTGAGCCGTGTAGGTACAGATACTACATCGCTAAGATATTGGCTATCACACACTTGCACCAGGCACCGTGGTATAGTTCCGAGTGCTGTGTGTACTGTATGGACTGATACACATATCAGTGTTGTGTGTACTGTATGGACTGATACACATATCAGTGCTGTATGTACTGTATGGACTGATACACATATCAGTGCTGTGTGCACTGTATGGACTGATACACATACCACGGTGTCTAGGATTGCACCGAGAACGTATACCTGGCCACACAGTTCTCTACAGATACAGTGCTGCAGCATCAATGTGGGCTGCATGATCTGACACGCACCTCCCAGTCTCTCACGTTTCACAGAGAGATGCACACCTGACCACATTCATAGTCCACCTTTAAGCACCACATGTTCTGACTTCTATGTCTCATATCTCTATACCCTCCAGGGGACATTGACCTGACCACATACATACACCCCTACTCACTTTTTATCTCCATATATATATACCCTCCAGGGGACATTGACCTGACCACAGACACACACCACTACTCACTTCTATGTACCACATACACACACCACTACTCACTCTTAATCTCCATATCTCTATACCCTCCAGGGGACATTGACCTGACCACAGACACGCACCGCTACTCACTTCTATGTACCACATACACACACCACTACTCACTCTTATATCTCCATATCACTACACCCTCCAGGGGACATTAACCTGACCACAGACACGCCCCTACTCACTTCTATGTACCACAGACACACACCCCTACTCACTTCTATGTACCACAGACACACACCCCTACTCACTTCTATGTACCACATACACACTCCACTACTCACTCTTATATCTCCATATCTCAATACCCTCCAGGGGACATTGACCTGACCACGGAGGAGACCAGTGTGATGTCGTTCATCCGCAAGTACGTGGCAGATGCACGCAGCGCCAACGGTGTACACCCCACAGACGATAACCCCAAAGTCACCACCACACACGCACACGACGAGCGACGTCGCTTGGTCAAAGCATTCCTGCAACGGTATAGGCCGTGTGCACTGGGCATGCTATGGGTATCTGTGTTGCATGGTCGTGGTTGTACATTGTGTGTGGTTTATGTGATGGGTGTGTATTGGGCATGCTATGGGTATCTGTCGTATGGTCGTGGTTGTACATTGTGTGGTTTATGTGATGGGTGTGTATTGGGCATGTTATGGGTATCTGTGTGGCATAATCGTGGTTGTACATTGTGTGTGTTTTGTGTGTGGTTTATGTGACTGGGTGTGTATTGGGCATGCAATGGGTATCTGTGTTGCATGGTCGTGGTTGTACATTGTGTGTGGTGGGTGTGTATTGGTCATGATATGGGTATCTGTGTGGCATGGTCGTGGTTGTATATTGTATGTGATTTATGTGGTGGGTGAGCATTGGGCATGCTATGGGTATCTGTGTGGCATTATCGTGGTTGTACATTGTGTGTGGTTTATGTGATAGGTGTGTACTGGACATGCCATGGGTATCTGTGTGCCACGATCGTGGTTGTGCATTGCGCGTTGTATCTGTTGGAAGTGTGTTATCCATGACATGTGTATCTGTGGTACATGGGACATTTTTGTGTTTTATGTGTGTTATGTTGCGTGTTGTATTTGTCGTATGTGTGATTAGCTTGTTCCAGTCTTTCAGTCAATTGTGAGTTAGCAGTATCCATCCCACCCGCATATCACCTAGTTAAAGCATGCATGCGAGTATCCATACTATGCTTTGTGAAACATAGGTGATGAGGTCACTTTCTCTTGTTGCTTTAGTATTCATTGGCGTAGCGTCCGTTGCTGTGTTCATGTAATGTTCGAATGCACCAGTTTCTGTCGAACTTATTCCCTCATTATCACACTCACACAAGTATAGATCCAGAACATACCTTTTCATTAGCTATGGCAGTAGTTATGTACTCTCAAGCACTCGTATAGCCATCTATACTCAGTCCTGTGCATACACATGCGCTATCATCTGAGTTACGCCAATGGACAAGCCATGTGCATATACATACGCTGTTATATGAGTTGTCAGAAGCTGAGAGGGACGTAATAAATTCGACCGATTGCTATATATATAAGTATGTATGTATGTATGTATATATATATCAACGTGTACATAAAGACACACATACACTCTCCTACATCACAATACACACGAGCACATGCTCAACCAGTTTTCCGCACACGCACAGATGCGCGACCATGAACGCGTGTAAAAGCTGCAGAGGAATCTCTCCATCACTGCGAAAGGACGGCGCATCAAAGGTATTCCGATTGCCACTCGCCACAAAGAACAAACGCTCAATGGAGGCCAAGAAACTCAAGATCTCCATTCCCAAGTACGACGAAGAAGGTGTGTCTGGGCGGATTGGGGCTTGTATGTTGAGTGGATGTATCTTTGGGTTATAGGAGCACATAACTACACCTCAGCGTATCCATCGAAATAATGTAATGCTTGCTATATAGGCTAACGTATTAATATAAATCATCTGATACTTGCTATATAGATTAACGTATCAATCTAAATCATCTGATACTTGCTATATAGATTAATGTATCACTCTAAATCATCTGATACTTGCTATATAGATTAACGTATTAATCTATCACTTGCTATATAGGCAATGAGATTGTGGATAAAGAGAAAGTATTCGAAGCCGAGGACAGTGACGTAGATAGTGACGATGGCGATGGAAACACAGTGGTGCCGGACAAACCTGTCCGAGAGGATGTCCAAGTGTATATGTCACCGGTTGAGGTACGTATTTTTATGTGTGGGTGTGAAGATATACGAGTATGCGTGTGTGGGAGTGTACGTATACCTACCTTTGTTGTGAGGTTGTGTATTTGTATTACCTTATTTTTGTATGCGATGGTACTAAGCTATGTGTTCATGGATTTGGGAATGTAAGAATATTCAGGTGTATGTGTGTATGAATATATGTACATGATTATATGTATATATATATATTTGGGCATCTGTAGGCTAAACCAGGCACTTTCGCAGATATCTATGCATGTACATGTCGCTGCACGTTCTCCACGCGTTATACCTACTCCACTCTTCGCTCTGATTTGTCTTAACTAAGCTCCTGCCTACACTCGATTACTTCCAAGTGTAAAGCCAAGTTCGCCAGATGTCTACCCACGCTACTCTCTCACAAACCCCTTGACACTTGTGCTCATACCCACACTCTGTGTGTTCAGGCTATGCATTCCCCATCCAACTGCCACACAAAACTCCTAGCCCCTATTAAAACCGGCACTCAACGGTCCCTTTTTCCCGTGCCCAGGTGCGTAGCCATATCCGCAAAATGTGGTCCCTGGAGCGGAGAGTCATGGACCTCATCTTTGGTTCGGTTCGGGCCGGCAAAGGTTCTTCCAATAAAAGGGTGTCCACAGGTGATATGTTCTTTCTGTCGGCTGTGCCTGTGCCACCCTCTAAGTTCCGACCTGCGTCGAGAATGGGAGAGAAGACGTACGAGAACGGACAGAATGTATTTTTTGGGAATATACTCAAGCACTGTGTGGCACTGAATGAGCTTAGCAATGGTATGTGCTGGCTGGGTATATATATATATATATGTGTGTGTGTGTGTTGTGACTATATATTGCACCTGAATGGATATGTGTCTATTTGTTGCCTTCTGTGTGAACGCTACTAGTGCACAATCGACGCTCTGTCTACAGTGCCGTTCTATTGCTTGGTGTTGCATTGCAGCTTAGATCTCATACCGTTTATGCAACTACTAGTACCTGTTTCTGTCTTATCGAATCAAATCGCTCCTATATCCCGAAACACCGCTCTCACACACACACTTCCACTTCCCCACCAATCAAAACGCAGCTAAAGGCCCGGATGGCAAGCCGGTAGAAAACAGCGTCAACCTGGTGGGCTATCAGTCGCTGTGGTTGAGTATTCAAATGGAGATTAACGGACTCATGGACATGACCGTGACCTCCAAACGCGGCGACAAGGACCCCCCCGGCATCAGACAGCTGCTGGAGAAGAAGGAAGGTGAGTAGGTAGATATACTTGATGTATATATATATATAGGTAGATATGTGTGTATGTATGCGTGTAGGTTGTGATATTCTGGGCATCAGGCAGTTGCTGGAGAAGAAGGAAGGGTGGGTATATATATTTGTTGTATATGTATATATATGTGTGTGTACGTGTGTAGGTTGTGATATTCTGGGTAGCATGCGGGGTTGTAGAGTATATATGGATGGAATTTTATGGGACAAGCGTTGTGTAGGCGGAAAGCTGTATAGAGTATCTATGAATAAGATTTGCATATATACCGTAGGTACGTGAAGGTGTAGTATAAGTGTTTATTAGTAAGCATGTAAGGTGGGGTATTCTGGGTAGCACGTATGTTGACGCAGAAGGACAAGGTTGTGTTGATCCGTCATACAATTGAGGATGCCGTCGTGCGTTCACGTTTTGATTGTTTATTACGTTCGTGAGCCTCTTATTTAACGCAAGCCGGTGCATTCTCTTTCTTGTGATTGGTTGTCGCACTCCTTGCCGCATTACCGTTTATGTCCCAAGAGTCTACTTCAGCCCCACACGTGCTAGTCAACATGGGGCTGGCCTTGCGGCTGTTGCTCATCTTTTCATTAAACTCATCACTGCTTTCTGATTGGTTTCTAATTATAGGATTATTCCGCATGCACATGATGGGCAAGCGAGTCAACTTTGCGTGTCGGTCTGTGATCTCGCCCGACCCGTACATCGGCACTCATGAGATGGGAATCCCTCTAGTGTTCGCCCTCAAACTCACCTTCCCTGAACCAGTCACGGTAGGTCTCGAAACTGTAGTATAGGTGCATGTTCTGGCTTTTGTGTTGTATATATTTATATGCATATTTATATATATATATGTATGTATGCATGTATATGTATATATATATGTATATATTTATATATATATATATATATATATGTGTGTTTGTATGTATATATATATATGTGTGTATATATTGGTATGTGTGCATATACATGTGTATGCGCATATGTTATATATATATATATACGTATGTGTATGCCCTAAGCTGCTTGGTATATCTCGGCGTTGTTGTGCGCCTGTAAAAATTTATAAAGGGGTTTAAGAGTGTGTACACTACACATTATGCATACATATATATATATACATACATACACACACATATATGTATGTATATATACATATATATATATATATATATATATCATATACGCTCATACATAAATTTATACATATACGTATATATACTCGCATACAGGCATACGCACTCAACTCACATCCACTTCCATACCTTCCCAGGCGCATAACATCGCCGACATGCGCGAGGCCGTTATCAACGGACCTGAGCAACACCCCGGAGCCACCCACGTGGAGATGGAAGACGGTAGCATCACCAATCTCTCGGCACTCAACAGCGACAAACGTTTGGCCTTAGGAAACATGCTGCTCACCCCGCCCGAGAGTGGCCTGGGTGTGAAGAATGTCAACAAGAAGGTGTGGCGACACATCCGTACGGGCGATTGGGTGTTGGCGAATCGACAGCCGAGTCTGCACAAACCGTCCATCATGGCCCATCAGGTATGAGGGTTTTGGGTTGTATTGCATATTGTATATACCTATTCCAGGATGAAAACGTTGGCAAATATGCGTGTGACACCTATCGGTTGGCGTGTATTGTCCCTGTGCCAACCTCTTATACCTGCCTACTCTCCATCGCACTGAAGTGGGTTGAATCCTTGCATACTTACACTTCATACCTACGCCAACCTCTTATACCTGCCTGTTCTCCATCGCACTGAATTGCGTTTAAACCTTGCATATCTACACTTCACACCTACGCCAACCTCTTATACCTGCCTGTTCTCCATCGCACTGAATTGCGTTTAAACCTTGCATATCTACACTTCACACCTACGCCAACCTCTTATACCTGCATACTCTCCATCGCCCTGCACCGGGTTTTAATCGGTTTATACCTCCCTACACCCCACAGGCGCGGGTGCTGTCGGGTGAAAAGACTCTGCGCATGCACTACGCCAACTGTAACACCTACAACGCCGATTTCGACGGAGATGAGATGAATGTGCATTTCCCGCAGTCGCAATTCGCGCGGGCAGAGGCGCAACTCATTGCTAACACAGACAACCAGTACTTGGTTCCTACCAGTGGTATGTATGGGCGTAAGCAAGACCTGCATAGGAATACGTATAACGTATACTAGTATGGGCCTGTATATATATATATAAAAATATAATATATATGTATGCATATATGTGCTGGTATGCCTGTTTGTACATGGTAACCCCTTCTGCGTGCGTGTGTGTATACGTGTGCATGTTTGGATATCTAGTCCCACTTTAGCGATCATTGTTCACGTGTGAAGTTTAACGCTGGTTCTGCGTCCAAGCTCGCTAGACCCCACACAACCAACCAGCGAATCAGGCTCTGTAAAGCACTCCATTCACCGTATAGCACTGCACCCCCCCCCATATTGCTTTACAGGCAAACCCCTGCGAGGTCTGATCCAGGATCACGTAGCCTCCGGAACAGTCCTCACCTCTCGCGGTACCTACCTGACCAAAGAACAGTACCAGCAGCTCCTCTACAGTGCTTTCCCCAATGTCGCCTGCCGTATTGAGACTGTACCCCCCTGTGTGGTCAAGCCTAGACAGCTGTGGTCCGGAAAACAGGTGTGTGTGTGTGTTGGGAGGGGGAGTCTATTTGGCAATATATGCAACAAACTAGGTGAACAAATGGTGCAACAAACTCGGTGGACCTGTGCGGCTGCAAACACTGCGTTTATTCGTGCTACAGAGTTAAGTCACGAGAATGGTGGTATTTCCGGTACATACATGTATATAAATAATATATATATATATACGAACACGCTTTTACACACTCATCACCCCACCAGGCATTAACACCCAATCACTCCATCTCAGGTGATCACCAGTCTGTTGAAGAACATCTGCATGAAGGGCAGGACAGATGAACAAAGCCTCAACCTCACCAGCAAGAGTAAGGTGCCCGGGTCAATGTGGGGCCCGCACGCCTTGGATGAGGACAAACTGCTTATACACCGCGGCGAGTTGCTGAGAGGTACGTTTATGTGTGTGTGTGTGCTTGCGATTCTTTACGGTTGTATATGTATGTATGCGCGTGTGTTTGGCATGTGGTGTTGTACATAAATGTATTTACGGGTGTAATATAAAGTGGCGCGGCTGCCATACAGCGAGGGTTGTTGTACATAAATGTATTTACGGGTGTAATATAAAGTGGCGCGGCTGCCATACAGCGAGGGTTGGCTGCTCAGAGGCACGTTGATGAGTGATGTGTGTAGGATTGATATAGTATACTCTGGGTATGTGAATGCATCTCCTTCTGGAGCTGATCTTTCTATATACTCTGGTTATTTGAATGGAATATATATATATATATGTGTGTGTGTGTGTGAGCCAGGCATAGTTAGGTCTCATGCATAGATGTGTACATGGGAATGCAATTCTACGAGTGCACGCGTACATACGTTCTATTTATTGTAATGTACGCTTACTTTAATACGCCTTCGCACCATATGCATACACATACGTTTATTGTCAAATTTGGAATCGTATCACACACATGCTGACATACATACAGGGACACAACATTACGCAACTACGAACACTATGCTTGAAATATATATATATATATAAACACAAACTCATCCCCCCCCCCCTTCTCTCTCGGTCTCTCTCTCAGGTGTACTGGACAAGTCCCAATTCGGTGCCACCGCCTACGGTCTGGTGCATTCGTGTCAAGAGCTCTACGGCGCCGAGATCGCCGGTAAGCTACTCACAGCGTTTGGCCGTCTATTCACACACTTCCTGCAAACACGTGGTCTAACCTGTGGGTTAGCCGACCTCACTCTGCAACCCGAGGCCGATAAAAGACGCCTGGAATTGCTCAAGCAAGCCCAGACAGCGGGTGTGGAGGAGATTAGTAAGTTTGTGGGCCTGACGCCTGAGAGTGACCTGACGGACATCCAGGAAGGGCTGGCCAAAGTCTACCAGTCCGATGCTGCCATGGTGTGTGTGTGTGTGTATCTGTACTTGCATCTGTATATTTATTTGCATCTGTATATGTATTTCCATCTGTATTTGTATGTGTATTTGGATGTGTGTGTATATTTGTATTTGTACTTGTACTTGTACTCGTACTGCCTTGACACCTTACACACACTCTTTTCTTCCTGGACAGGCGCTAATATCATTCCACTGAGCCTTCAACCTCCATCACATGTATCTACAAACCTCTTCACACCTTCCCATATTCTATAAATAGGCCACCCCATTCACCTACACACCTCGTCACACCTTCCCAAATTCTATGAATAGGCTGGTCTGGATAACGCCATGAAGTCCCGACTGAACACGCTGAGCAGTGATGTCATCGCCACATGTCTGCCCGACGGAGCGTACAAGGCATTCCCCCACAACAACCTGTCGCTGATGATTACATCCGGTGCCAAGGGATCACCCGTCAACAGCTCACAGATCTCCTGTCTGTTGGGTCAGCAGGTATGAGGGGCGTGCATGGGTGTAGGCGTACACATTGTGTATATATATATATATATATGTATCTTTTTACTTATATTTTACTTACACACATATATATCTATATTTATCTATCTATATGACCATATATAGACATACATTTATGTAAAGTTAGTGTTTTGAAACCTAGATTTGGCATCTTCCGGGGTCGCAGGTAAATTATGTACCCATTAAGTAAAGTATGTCGTTTTACATATGCCCACATATATATTTATGTTTATTTAAACCTATGTATGTATAGATGCGTATGCGTATGCGTATGCGTATTCAAGTAGTTGTGCTTGTTGGTGAAATAATGTAGTGCATTCGTTCGCGAATGGATGAGTCTGTATGCTTGATTGCTGAAGTTTGGTTCCCTTGTAATTACAAGGACATCGATTTTACATGTACCGAAGTGTACGTGTGTGCTTATTTATATAGTTATATTGTTATATATACTCTTATCAGCAACTCATGGAACTTCGACAACCAAGACACCTGAAAATTCAATATGGCCCGATTATAATTATACCGACATCCAAGTACCTCTATCATTAATCATAGTAGGACACTCATATACCGCTTCAATATTCACGAAAAACATTAAAACCCACCTTTGCCTACCCCCGCCCCACACACCAATACCTACCTACATCGCCCTCCACCAACACCCACCTACCACACCGCTACCTACAGGAACTCGAGGGTCGGCGTGTGCCTGTCATGGTGAGTGGGCGTTCGCTGCCGTCTTTCCTGGCCCACGATGTGAGTGCGCGTAGTGGTGGGTATGTGATGGGACGGTTCTTGACGGGCATTAAACCGCAGGAGTACTACTTCCATTGCATGGCTGGTCGTGAGGGTCTGGTAGACACGGCTGTGAAGACGGCTCGTTCCGGGTACTTGCAGAGGTAGGCGCATGTATCGATCTATCTACACCAATGGGCATCTCAGGGGCACAAACCAAGTTTATGTTGCGCAGATGTGGCGTTCAGGACGAGAGGGTGTGGTTTGGGGTGAAACGTATTGGTGTGCGCTTTGCGGTGCTTATTATTATTGGCCAATGCGTTTGTTGTGCGGTGCTTGTTGCTAGCAAGAGGGTGTGGTTGAGGTTTAAACGCATTGAATTCGTTGTCAGACAGGGCGTTAGGCTTAGCATCCCCGCTTTGGTGTAAAGTTCAGTAAACGTATGACTGCAGATGGATGTACACAATACGCTCTATACATTGACCTGTACATCTACGGACAGACTATAAGACAGCTTATGTGTCATGCGTGAACGTTGCGCATACTTTTATACTGAAGTGTGTACTTGTTCTTGTACTGATACTTATATTCATTCATACGTATACGTACTGATACTTACATTTATCCATACGTATGTGTACTTGTAGCTATATTCACACATACGTATACGTACTGATACCTATATTCATACATACGTATACGTACTGGTACCTATATTTATCTACACGTATGTGTACTTGTAGCTATATTCACACATACGTATACGTACTGACACCTATATTCACACATACATATACGTACTGATACCTATATTCATACATAAGTATACGTACTGGTACCTATATTCATACATACGTATGCGTACTTATACCTATATGCACACATCTGTATTCTATACGTACATTCGCACTGACACTCGCACTCACCTATGTCCATACGTAGATGTCTGATCAAGCATTTAGAGGGCCTGCGCCTTCACTACGATCTCACAGTACGAGACATTGACGGGGGCATTGTGCAGTTCAACTACGGCGAGGATGGCATCGACGTCACCAAAGTGGCGTACATGAAAGAGTTCGACTTCATGGCCAAGAACCAGTACGTACTTTTCTGCGTATATCAGTGTATCTGCAGTACTAACAATTTATAATATATATATATAATTATGTAGTAATATATATATATATAAGTGTCGGAGTACCTGTTTCTGTGTCTAAACCAACTTATCCTATCTGCATAAGTTAGTATTGTGATATCCATATACCAATGTATACTACCACACACACCCATACGTAAACTAAGCTACACCCGCACCCCCACAGAAACGCTCTTCTCAGCAAGTACGACCCAGTAGCCGCCAGTACTGTCATGAACACGTCCAAGGCAGTCAAGCTCACACACAAGCTGCACAAAGCGTTTAAAAAGGACAAGAACGCTATAGTAGACCCCGTGCTGTCCCATCTGCGCCCAGATAAGTACTTGGGATCCGTCAGTGAACAGTTTGAGAAGGACTTGTCCACGTACGTTGCTAAGCAAGAAGACCAGCAGTCTGCGGCGGTGAGTAGTGTGGGTTTATTTGTTAGTCTGATTTATATATATATATATATATATATATCTGCCTGTCTAGTAGTATGTATGTATGCATGCATATATACCATATCTCATCCCATTCTTGCTTTCAGATGTATATACCACGTTGCATGTATATATGTAACTATCTATCCATCTATCTATCTCTGGCTATGTTTGTCTGTGTATCTATCTTTCTATGTCTGTATATATATATATATCCCTATCTCCGTCCATTGTTGCTTGTCAGATGCATATCCCACGCAAACGCCATGCTCACACTCTCATTCCCATCCTCTGCGTATTCTCCCACCATATCCCGTTCGTCTGTTGCGTTGCAGATGTTCCGTACGCTGATGTTCATGAAGTACAAAGACGCGTTAGCCGATCCAGGGGAGGCTGTGGGTCTGTTAGCAGCACAGAGTGTGGGCGAACCTTCCACACAGATGACGCTCAATACCTTTCATTTCGCAGGTGTGTGTATATGGATGGATAGATATGATATATTGTATTTTCAGGGTACGGAGTGTGTGTACGTGTATAGGGACGTGTGTATATGGATGGATATGATATGTTATATTTCCAGGGTACGGAGTGTATGTACGTATGTGTATAGGGACGTGTATATATGGATGGATATGATATGTTATATTTCCAGGGTACGGAGTGTATGTACGTGTATATGGATGGATATGATATATTGTATTTTCAGGGTACGGAGTGTATGTGTGTGTATAGGGACGTGTATATATGGATGGATATGATATGTTGTATTTTCAGGGTACGGAGTGTATGTACGTGTATAGGAAACTATGTTTGCATGTGTAGACATGTAGTGTTCTATAACGATGACGCTGAACGCCTTCCATTTCGTAGATGTATGTATATGTTTATGCATAGGATATATAATGCACCAGAAAAATGCTTTGAACACCGTTCTTCTCGCGGAGATGTGTGTGCCAGGACCTATGCACAACCCTGACCAACATACCTACATTTACCTACGCCGACAGACACAAACTGTCGAGTTACATGCTCGCGTACGTATTGAAGCCTTAAAGCATTCTGTGCTCGTTCAAATATACCACCCCCTATCCACCCGCACACACACACCCTCTCCCCGCAAATGTCCTGACCCGTTTTCAACCGGTCCGGCCCATTCACTCCAGGTTTCGGTGCCATGAACGTCACCCTGGGTATCCCCCGTCTGCGAGAGATTCTCATGACGGCTAGTAAGAACATCAAGACACCCGCCATGACACTCCCGCTCAGACCCTTTGACACCTACGACAAGCACGTGATGAGAGGCACCGACCTCATGGCCACCGCCAAGCACCTGCAGTTGCAGCTGGGGCGGCTGGTCATGTCGGATGTGCTGTCCAATATCGAGGTATGTTGTCGGTATATATAGGAAGATTATGTATGCATGTATCACTGTGTGTACGTGTGTATGTGTATGTGTGACGCCGGTCGAATGTTTAAATGACATCGCTTCGTTCGAAACCTGCCTTAAATCGTCCCGGTGTGCACCCAGAATTGTCCTAAAGCCCCAAAACCCCCAATACAGGTGCACGACTGGGTCACAAACCGACAAGCGGGCGGCGAAACCAAACAGCGATACATGATGTACAAGATCAGGCTCGAGTTCAATCCTGAAGTTATTGCAGACATGGACACGGCGAGAGTTATAGAGGACATCAAGTTCACCATGGAGCGTCGCTTTGTGAAGATGTTGGTGGCGATGATAGACAAGCACATGAAGAAGGTCGACGCCAATGTCACGGCAGCCGTCAAGAAGGCGGTTGTAGCGCAGGTGGATAGTGACGACGTAATGGACGTATGTTGATATATATATGTGTGTATGGATGAATGTATGTCTGTGTGTGTGTGTATGGTGTGAAGACATTCGTGGCGAGTATCTGCTGTATGCGTATTTGACACATATACGGTGTGAGCATAGATGCGTAGTGTGCTGTGTGTGTAGTTGAATGGTTGTGTGCCTTGTCTTCATCTGCTGATAAGCACATCAACACGTTGACGGCCTATACCACCGCCACCGCCCAATAGGGAGGATGTGCATGACGTCAATAACGACGACGATGTGAACCTATACTAAACGCTTTGTACAGTGTTTGTGATTGGACCTATACTAACCGCTTTGTACTGTGCATGTGCTTGGACCTATACTAAACGCTTTGTACTGTGTTTGTGCTTGGACCTATACTACACGCTTTGTACTGTGTCTGTGCTTTTACTACGCGCGCTTTATGTTATCGTATGTGTATCTTAACCTTGCAACAGTATCCGATGTTTGCTAGCCAAACTGCCGTCGGTGTATATATCATACCTTTCACAGCTACATGCTTCGTACCACTACTGCTGCATGTTTAATACTCCTGCCTTCTCCGACTAACGAGCCCGTCCGTATCCAACGTCTCTGTGTCTCACACCACAGACAAATGTGGGGCGTACAAAGGCGATGACGCTGGGCAATCAGGATGAAGAGGAAGCTTACTCAGACGCAGAGAACGAAGAAGACATGGACGCCACCACAGCACGCAACAACAAGAAGCGCACAGAAGCATCAACCTACGACGACGACGACGACGACGAGGGGGTGGAAACTTCGGATGATGAAGGCGGTATGTATATGTGTGTGCGTGTGTGTGTGTCTCATCTGTTTGTAAGTTATTGTGTGATTGTGACTATATGTTTATAAGTATGTAGTGAGTTCTGGTTGTGGTTGTGGTTGTGGTGAATTGGTACTTTTTTCTTTTTGAATGGATAGTAGTCTCTACTTTTACAACGGAGATGTGCACAGAACTTTTGTGATTGTTGTTCTGTGGTGTGTGCGTTTGTATGTGTTTGTGTGGCTAGATGTAGTATACAAGTATTCCCCATCTAAAACCCTATACCACATGTCACGTAGATATAACCTAAAGTCCTCGACAGACACCCATCGCTACACACAAACCACACAACCAAAGCATTGGCACAAACTGTGACATCACCAGCCGCACGTGTCCTGTCGGTGCACAGTCATCCGACCCATGTCTTATAATCCCACCACCCTCATCACACACACCCAGACGCGCATGCGGGACCTTTAGCCCTGCTCCCAGACGAAGTATCAGACGCCGAGTCGGATTCCGGTCCTGAATCCATGGACCGAGCAGACAGATACGACGCCCAGGATGTGGAGAACTTTGTCAGGGCTCAGAGTGGGAAGGTGCACGCGTACAGGTTTGCTAAGAATGCGAGCTGGTTTGAGGTTACGCTCAAGCTGCCGTCGACCCAACGGAAGCTGCTACTGCTGTCTATGCTGGAAGTGCTGGTATGTGTAAGGGGGTGATGCTGGGGTAGGCGAGTGTATTGTACTGTACTGTGATTGAAAATGCACCTGTTTGAAGTCTTTTTGGGCTACAGTACTGTACTGTGAATGAAGATGCACCTGTTTGGTCTTTTTGGGCTCAAAGAACCCGTTGAGTGTAGGAGTGCCTACACCGGAAACGTTTGTGTGGGATTGGCTGGGTAGGCGATAGTGGTGCTTGCTGTGACTAAGTGTACCAGCTTGCACCATGTACTTCAAGGATCCTTCATCTTAGTCATTGGACACTTGACACTGACACACTTCTGACACTGATACGTTTCTTACACTTTCAACTGCAGGTAGAGGACGTGGTTGTGCGCTCCACCGAAGGCATCAAACGGTGCATTGTACAGAACGATGACGACAAGCCCCATCTGCCGCCTAAACTGCAGACAGAGGGGGCCAACTTAAAGCAAATGTGGGAGTTTTCAGAACTCACAAATATCAATGAGCTGTACAGTAACGATGTCTGCCAAGTGCTGGAAACGTACGGTGTGGAAGCGGCCAGGCAAACGATTGTGAATGAGGTACGTGTGAGGAAAGGACCTTACATATATACTTTATTATATATATATATATATTGCAGTTTCTACGTATGAGCGTTGCATGCTCTGAGCAGACTGTTTGCGGCAGTCATTCTACTATATTTGAAGCACCTATCTGCTGCTCCCTAGTACTTGCACTCATTTCTACCTTTCGCTCACCCGTGCTATACTTCCACAGATTGCTGGCGTTTTCAAGGTGTATGGTATCTCCGTTGACCTGCGCCATCTGTCTCTCATTGCCGATTATATGACGTTTGAGGGTGGTTACAAGCCCTTCAACCGTGTTGGAATCGAATCAAACACCAGTCCTATGGCCCAGGTGAGTCTGTGTGCGTGTGTATGTGCGTGGCTGCATAGAGATGCATGTAGGTAGTTATATGCGTAGGTGTGGATGTATGTACTGGGCTCGTGTACTGCTGAACGGAAATGCCACAATATTTAAGAGCAATCCGAGGTTTTTTGGTTGGTAAAACTATAACCATATCTGCGTTTGTTGTGCCAGAGACGATACCACGCACCGTATGACCTAAACGGCTCTGCATCGAACTAACCCCCCACTCCCCTTTACTCGCTCGTTATACATCCACAGATGAGTTTCGAGACCACGATGCACTTCATGCGCAGCGCCATCGTGTCTGGTGCGACAGATACCATGGAGTCGCCGAGTGCGCGTCTTGTCATGGGTCGGCTGGTAGAGGGTGGTACAGGCTGCTTTGACATCCGGCAACCGTTGTCTGTGTCCAGACCGATAGTGGAGGACACGGACGAATAGCTGCAGATTATAAATTTATTAAAGAAAGATCATTTAGTCATTATATCCCAGGCACGGTGTAGGTATACATCCTGTATTGCTCCTTGGACTTGGGTGTATTGGAGGGCCCGTTGTTACTGCTGTTGTTATTGTTGTTGTTTGGTCACCAGAGGCATCCCTAATTGTAATCATCATATTTGCTACAGAGTACGCATACAGTATTTAATTCTATTTGTTGGAAGAAAATTATTAACCATGCGCGTCGGACAACTCGCAATAAATCTCATCTGACAGTCAGAATATATAAGTCAGTCACCTATCTGAACTCTGGTGTGTTTTTTCTCATGAACAGCAAGTATGTAAACGTATTCACAATACTTGGAATTGGTATTTAAATATCACTCACTTAGTATTTACATTTGACAACTACTTTTTCGATAACATTTTTTGCTTATATTTGTACAGCACAACTACATGACACAAATATCAAAAAAATAAAAAGGGAATTTAGCATTGACCTCTAAATTTTACAAGAGGACTATGACTTTAGTACTTTAAGGTTTATGTATATTTAGTGGAAGTGTGGTTCGTATAAGCAACATAAGCACTTTACTACTCCCCCAAGTACGCTGGTCAAAGCGTACTATTCCATAGAAACTCCTGTAATTCTGGTGAACATGAGAACAGTAACTATATAACGTGAATATCTAAAGAGAGCTGCCCACCACGAGAGCCACTATAGTTGAACAGATCGCATCAAACGCTCTACCTTGGCTGAATACAGATTTTTTACGTAGCGTTGCAACCTCAGTGTTGGTCTTCAACATCACTTTGCTCCCGTTCGCAAAAATGCAAGTATATCCAATTTCACTAATAGACGGACACTGGTCATGCTATACTAAATATGGGCACCGACCGTTTAAGCACCGAAAATATTTTTGCAGGG